TGAGATCACTAGGTGATCTTATGGCCAGATAAGGACAAGGTCCTTGGTTGGCTAAGGAATGAAGTTCCTGGTTCAAAATGTTGAAATTGAACTGTTTAAGGTGGTGTGGCTTGGTCGTGATGACCAAGTGGGAAGAGCACCTAAGGGAAATAAACTATGTCCGTGCGATGGCATAGTGAGTCCGAGGAAAGTAGTCTCTATAAAAGACCCATGGGAGGGTCACGAAGTTGGGCCATGGATAGAGCCCATAACAGAAGATGCTAAAGAGACGTACTAGGGGTGAACATCCTCCGGACTTGGCAAAGAAGAGTCTTTGCTATGGAACCGAAACAATACCTCAAGGAGGAGGTAGAGATTCGATGTTGCTTGGTGCAACAATCAACGGATAGGAGCAAAAGATGAGTGGCCAAGATAGGGCCGTGGAATCCCTTGGGAGGAATCCAAGTGACAAAGTTAGGCGAGGAACACTAATGTGTTGGACGCTAACAAGTTGCGGGAAAGGAAGTGTGTTTCCAAGGAGGGATTCCGAAATGCTCCGATTTGGCGAAAGTGGAAGCTCCAAGGGAGGGAGCGGTAAGGCAGCCAAATGATAGGGCCATGAACAGCCCTAGCACAAAGTATGATAACTGGAACTTTGGCACGAAATAGAAGAGAGGATGATGGTGCCCTCGAGTAGAGAACTTCCTAGGATGGGAAGTGGAGTTGCACAAAAGGTGCAAGGCAAGGTGTCGGAGACACCTAGGAAATTGACTCCAAGAAGTCAAAATTCAAAGTTCCAAAGTGCAAAGGTTATATTGATGGAAATTGAAACTACTCGAGAAGGAGTAGTGGAATTGACTTAGAGAAGGGTCTCTAAGAGGTTTAGCGAGAACTAAACCAATAAAAGGAGAGAACCATTACATGTGGTCCAATCAGTCTCTAAGTTGGAGAGACTACGCTCCTTAAAGGATGGACAAGGCATGGTGAGCCTTTGGTGTCAAACCATAGACAAAGATTAGCTAGGTGCCAAGGATGGAAATGGTAACACGTGTGGGTGTTACTTTATGAAAGGGTTTACCGTTCGATGAGGACATCGAACTTCGTCTATGGGTGGTGGAGTTGTGAGACACAAAATCCCTAGGCCCCAAAGTGGAGCCGGAAGGGCGCCACATGGTAGTGGCCGAAGCGAGAGCCAAACGAGCGTAACATGTTTGGACCAAAAGCTCCGACTTGAAAAGTCAAGAGCGGGAGTGGAACTCCCAACGAAGTGCTCGAGGAACGAGCACGAAGCGAGCAAAAGGTGAGGCTCCAAAAAGGGACCCAAAAGGACCAACACATGACACGTGGGAGTGTCCGAAATGGACTCGAGTTGGAGTCCGAAGTGGAGTCCGAGATGGACTCGAGTTGGAGTCCGAAGTGGAGTCCGAGATGGACTCGAGTTGGAGTCCGAAGTGGAGTCCGAGATGGACCCGAGTTGGAGTCCGAAGTGGAGTCCGAGATGGAGTCCGAGGTGGACCCGAGATGGACCCGAGTTGGAGTCCGAAGTGGAGTCCGAGATGGACCCGAGATGGAGTCCGAGATGGAGTCCGAGATGGACCTGAGATGGACCCGAGATGGAGTCCGAGATGGAGTCCGAGATGGAGTCCGAGATGGAGTCCGAAGTCGAGACCGAGACCGGGACCGAGACCGAGATCAGGACCGAGACCGAGGCCGAGGCCGAGACCGAGCCCGAGCCCGAATCCGAGTCCGAGTCCGAGTCCGAGTCCGAGTCCGAGTCCGAGTCCGAGTCCGAGTCCGGAGCCTGAGAGGGTGAAAGCCCAAAGCGTTCGTCTCCCAGACCCTGGGGGGTTTGGTGAGCCCCAAAAGTATAGTAGGGGGAGGACTGCAGTGGAGCCAGTTTGGCCAGGAAAGGCCAGTTTGGCCCAGGAAGGCCAGACCCAGTGTTGGGTGATGAGCTGCCCACTGGGAAGTCCAAGACTAGAGTGAACACAGACCGACAAGCGGGGTAGCTTGGTGATGTGTTCAAGAGCCGGCTCTAGTTCCCCCGGGAGATCGACTGGCCGATGCTCCCAGTCCAAGTGTGGGTGGCACTACCTACTTGGATACCTGGTGTGGCTCAATGGAACCTGCTCTAAGCCCATGGCTAGAGCACCTAAAGGCGAAAGGCGGGGAGAGTACCCAGGTGGCTCGTGTAAGGCCACGGTGTTCCGAAATGTTGTCCCAAAGGCCTAGACTGTGGAAAGGAAGAGGAGCAGTCCTCTGGGGTAGTGACCAAGGACACAGTCATGTGGTGAGGAAGTCCCAAAGGACCATGGGACTTAGTGGTCGGGCCTGTGGGCCTCGATCCAGTGGCAGTGTTGGCAAACACGGCCAGGGGCAGAAAGGGACTTGGTAGGAACCGACAAAGGGACTTTGGGGAAGGCGATTCCCCAGGTCTGTGGGCATCCCAAGGATGCTAAGGAGTGGATCTAGGATGACCACTCGGGGACAGATGGCCCAAGTCTTGGAAAAACGGGATGGTGATGCAAGTGGTATTGGACCACTAGTGCAGCAAAGGTGAATGGGCATGGCCTTAGCGTAACGGGCCGAGATGTCAGTGGTACCTTTGGGTGTCGGTCTTGGGACCGGACACGTGGAGCACTTGGACCAGGTGCAAGTGTTGAGTGGCATGGATGCCAGTATTGGGGCTAGCAAGTCCCAAGTCCTGAATTGGACTGATGGAGGTTGTGAATGAGACTCCTCCAAGTGGTCGGAGGTGTGGTTAAGTGACTAAAGTAGAACGGAAAATTTAGTCGCTTACATCACCCCCCCTTCAGAGATGTCAATGTCCTTATTGACTATTGACTAATAACCCCTACTGAGCCAAGGGGAACCAGCACCTCCATTTCCGCACTGAATCTACCAATCCCTCCATTTCCGCACTGAATCTACCAATCAGCACCTCCATTTCCACACTGAATCTACCAATCCCTCCATTGTGTAGACCAGCTATTCCATTGTGTATCCACCTTCGTCCGTGGATATTCCACACAAGAGGAAGGATGTACACATGGATGCCCAATACGTACGATTTCAAATTTCGTCCGTGGATATTCCACACAAGAGGAAGGACGTACACACCCGTACCACAGTCCCACAGTGGATACCTTCGTCCATGGATATGTACGATTTCAAATTTCGTCCATGGATATTCCACACAAGAGGAAGGACGTACACACCCGTACCACAGTCCCACGGTGGATACCTTCGTCTGTGGATATTCCACACAAGAGGAAGGACGTACACATGGATGCCCAATACATACGATTTCAAATTTCGTCCGTGGATATTCCACACAAGAGGAAGGACGTACACATGGATGCCCAATATGTACGATTTCAAATTTAGGGGTAGGAATATATCTTGCTCAAGAGTATATTATATTTTTAAGTAGCCACTAATCAATGGGAATCGAACCCGTGTCATTTGCTCCGATACCAACTGTAACACACCTTATCTCTCTCCCCTTAAGCCAACTAGAAAAGGGGCAATTGCTTGATGAAAGAGCCCTTAGTGACTATTTTATCCCTATTTATCCCCTAAAGTTCTAAGGATCCATGATGACAGTATATTCAAATCTCATCCCATGATCACATGCACTACACTATAACACGTTAAGGGTTAAGAGGTTGGCCTAGGGTTCACTCTCTTATTCATTTCAGAAGAGGAGGCTAATTTAGTTCTACATTATAATAGCTGATGGAGGATTTATATCCTCGCATTATGCCACTGGTATGCTGAAATAGTGCCAAACTTTATTTAACTTCATTTTACATGTTAATTTTACTATGGAATGCTAAATGCTTTAAGACTATTCTAATATCACTTTATATTCATATCCCTTCGCTCCCTAAGTTGAACACTTAGGAGTTGCTCTATATTCCAATTTTTATTTCTATACTCCTTGGTTGTATGTTAAGGATTTTAATTTCATCTCTTCGTTCAATGGCTTAAGGCTTTGAACTCAAGTTCCACTCCATTACCCTTGGTCCACATGTACAAAGGTTTATATTCCACTCCATAGTTATTTTATAGTAAATCACTATAATATAAAAAGTGAAACTATGTACATTATATAAAAGCACAATTACCCTTAAATACCCCATTCAGGAAAGAACACTTCTTTATTGATCAGATTTGCTTAAGCCAACTGCAATGCCACAAATAGGCCATGAAACACTCTCTCCTACTCTAGGATTTGCCCTTAAACTCTTTCAATCCTCCCAAAAAAACACTTTAAAGATTTGGCCCTTCAAGAACACTCTCATATTCAAGATTGCTATTCTTATTGTGTTGCCACTAGTAGGCCATAAAATACTCACACACAAGCTCAAGGCTATTATGTTGCCATTAGCAGGTTATGAGATTCCTCTAGATAACACTCTCCATTCTAATTCTACAAGAATATTATTAAACATTGTTAAACAATTTTAAATGCTTCAGGAAAAGGGTGATGCTTAACTTAACCCTTCCTATTGCCATCCTCTTTATATCTTATGCTCTTAGCAAATTTTTTTAAAATTGGATTGCAAATCCTCATTTGTATATAAATAATTGATTTATAGAGATTCAAATATAAAGAGAAAAAGTCTATGAACAAGAGTGCACCATCTTTTTCAATCGGTTATAAGTGTTAAGATACTTAGGATTAAATATCCTTAAGTAATTTTGTAACAAAAAACTACTTTAACTAATTTTTTGCCATGAGGTAAAATAAAATCAAGATTGAATATATTGCCTTTGCTCTTTTAAATAGTACTAGCAAGGAATCTAGATTTGTTAGAAAATATAAAAGCAAATTAGTAAGATCCAGAAATATAAGCATATCTCCTTTCTTTTGGTCATACACTTAGTTCCATATAAATCTATTGTGCTTCAGTACAAGATCAAACAACTCTCTAGCTTCTACAAGATGAATCTATTTAAGTTTAGCACAAATGGTTTACAACCCTCCTCATTAACTGGAACTAAACATAAGGGTGAAAGTAAATAAGTTTTAAACTATATTTAATTGTTTTACTTAAAAAGATCACCAAAAATCTCGGCAGGAACACTTCCCCTCTTCGAAGTGGTGAAAACGATGGCAATCCCGGACGACAATCTTCCTTCTCGTCACCTTAGACATGAGCTTGGCTGCTGCATGGCAGTCGGAGCACACCCGCAGGTTCTTTAGAATCCTTATCGTCGTCCCGGGAGCAGTGGAGATCACTCCAAATGCAATCGCCAACTTCTCACTGTGGTTGAGCAGGAGCCTCCGCTTTTGCTCCTCGCAAACATCATGAAGCACCTCCCTGGTGTCCGGGACGTATCCTTGTTTCACCACCAACTCATGGAGCCTTCCAAGCTCGCGACGAATTTCCTGGTTTCGTACGTGGCTCGTGTCCCCGACCGTGAACTTGTGGAGCTTCCTGTCGATCTCTATCAAGCTAATCCCTGGCTGCTTCACGACGTTCCTGTCCTTCATGAGCCTCCTCACGGCCTGGACGTCGCTCTCCATGCCGAGAGAAGCGTACAAGCTGGCCAGGAGTACGTAAGGAGAAGCGTTGCGCGGCTCCAGCTCAAACAGCCTGTGTGCTACCCGAGCCCCCCGTTCCACGTCTCTGTAAGTCTTGCACGCGCCGAGGAGGCTTCCGAGAGCCACCTCTAGAAAGCCCGAGCACCCGGCAGCCTGGAAGTCGATGAGTTCTTCGGCGGCGTCGAGCTCTCCCGTCCGTCCCAGGAGGCTCACCACAGACTGGTAGTGATCGCTGCTCGGTTGCAAGCCGTGGTCGCTACTCATGGACTGGAAGTATTGGACGCCCGTGTCGAGGAGTCCCAAGTGGCTGGACGCCACGAGAATGCTCATGAAGGATATAGAGTTTGGTCGGAGGCCTTCGACGAGCATTGCATGGAAGCTCTCCAGAGCGTTTCGGCATAGCAAATGCTCTTCGCTGGTGTCGGCCGTGTGCCCCTCGCTCGAGCTCGGGCTCGTATGCCCGCTGTGGGCATATCCGCCGATGAGCGAGTTCCAAGTTGCCACATCCCTCTCGAGCATACTGTCAAAGAGCTCCTTTGCTTCTTCCATCCTCCCGTTGTGAGCATAAGCCGCCACCATTGCGTTCTGGGACACTAAGTCCGGCTCTTCAATGCAGGAGAAGACGGTTCTTGCCTCCTCGAGCTGGCCATACTGAGCGTAGAACACCAGCATCACTGTCCTCGAGACGGAGTTGTGCTCGGGAAAGTTCTCGTAGAGGCTGCTGGCTTCTTCCAGAAGTCCTCCCTCGGCATAGGCATGTAGCAAAGTGATCCACGAGATCGTGTTCCTCATCGGCATTACGTCGAAGGCACTCTTTATCTTCGAGATCTGCCCAGCCCGAGAGTTCGCTAGCAGAAAGAAGTTCCAGGAGACAACGGTGCGTTCTGGCATGCTGTTGAAAAACTCGCGAACCTGGTCGAGGTTCCCGCTGTGGTGAACGAGCGCCCTGATCATGCAGTTCCAGGAGATGATGCTCCGCTGCGGCATTACCTCGAACACCATCCTCGCGCTGTCGAAGTCTTCATTGTCCGCATAGGCCGTCAGCATCGCAGTCCAAGAGACGACGTTACGAGACTCGGCCTTGGCCTCGAAAATGCCTCTGGCTCGCTGCAGCTGGCCGTTTTGAGCGTAAGCCTCGATCATAACAGTGAGAGAGACCTCGCTCAGCTCGGGCATGCCACCAAAGAGCTCCTGGGCTTCCTCAAACCTCCCACCGCGGTAACTGGCTTCAACCATTGCCGTCCACGACACCACCGTCCGTCCAGGCATAAAGTCGAACAAAGCTCTCGCCTCTCGCAAGAGCCCGTTCTCAACGTAGGCCGAAAGCATCGCGTTCCACGCGATAACATCCTTCGCCCCGGCCCTGTCAAAAACAGCCTTGGCATCGGCCACCCGGCCAGCCTGACCATACGCCATTACCATCTTCGTGCATGCCACCACGTCCGGTTCGTGCATCATGGCGAAAGCTCTCTCGGCCTCCGAAAGATGACCGTTCTGGGCATACGCGTTCACCATAAAGCTGAGCGTCACCACGTTCCACTCGGGCATCCTGTCCATAAATCCCCTGGCCTCGACCAAGTACCCCTTCTGTGCGTGCGCTGCAAGGATGTTGTTCCACGCCGAGACGTTCCGTTGCGGCATGCTCTCAAACATTACCCTGGCGTCACCGAGATACCCGTTGCTCGCCAAGGCCGTCATCATGCAAGACCACGAGTACGCGTTCTTGGGATTTATCTCCTCGAACACCCGCTGTGCGTCATCCGGGCACCCGCATTTCCCGTACATTTGCACGAGCAAGTTGGCGAGGAAACTATCCTGTACTACGCCACCCCCGCCGCTGTCCAAGATATGCGCATGGACGCGCTTGCCTCTTGCGAGGTCTTTCGCGTCGCTGCAAGCTCGCACCAGCTTCGCAAACTTGTCCCTGTCCAGCCTCTGTGCCATCCGGAAATATCACTACCATATCTCTCGCCTGCTGCTGCTCCTCCTGCTGGAAAATGACGATCCCATTTATCTCTGTAACTATCTGTCCGTCTGTGCTAACTCCCACCTTGCTTCGTATCCACCTGTCTATCTGTGCCGCTATCGCTATTCGCTAACACCCAGCTTGGCTTGACTGATACGCCCGAGCCGGGCATAGCACTTCGCACGGTAGACAAACGGCTTCACCATGCCCGAAGAGGTAAGCCATCGTACGCCAAGTACGCCTCTTTTGTCGACACTCGCAAAGGCTACTCCGCCATCCACATGCATAGACCGGGCAGCAAAAGTTGCTCCACATAAATAGCTATCAGCACCACAGCGGCAGCAGCAGCAGAGAGCTCCAGCTCCAGAAAAGAAAAGAAAGCCTGCCTGCCTTCACCAGTGTCAAATCAATCAGTCGTGGGGAATACTAGGAGAAGTAGAAGAGAGAAAGCTCACTTAACAGACTTAAGCTCGGTGCGCGACTCCGCTGATGATATGTTGCATAACGCAGCATGTGAAGAACACAGTGGAGGTGTCGACGTCTGCAAGCTCTGGTGATGCTCTTTTAACTTTGCTCTCGTTTCGGTACTAGCGGCCCAAGGACTTTTACCAGAAGAGCCACCCATTCCTTTCGTCCTTCAGTTGCGTGCTGGATTAACGGGCCCTCAGGAATCTCTCCAGATTGCAGGCAAAGGAGAACGCTGCTGTGATTGTGATGCCAACCCTGTAACCTCCCTCGCGTATTACAGACCGCGGCACGATATATAGGACGATGAATTTTGGCTTCCAGCCGCAGTAGCCAGGAGCTGGAGCAGCATAGCTACGAGTGTCCTCAAAACTTGGTCCACTGGAGAAGAATCTTTCCATAGAACTCCGCTGTCAGCGCCACCAAAGATATGTTGTTTTCGGTCTTATAGGATGCTGCTGCTGCTGCTGCTGCTGCTGCTGTTTGTCTCTAGAGTCACAAGCCTTGCCAATGCCGGTAGCATGGTTGTCTCCAACAAATTCTCCTGCTGGCTGCTGATCTCACTCCTCCTCCTCCAGCTCGCTAGTCTCACAACTCCGAGTCCTTTCCCCCGGGGTAATAATTCGCTATTCATGTCCCTTTGTCTCAATATGCCAGCTGATGCCATTGTTGTCGTTCGTGCTGTGCAGGAAGAAAGGATGACCCTCGTCGCCACGACAATCAAAGCCTGGCAAGGGTGATTGCCACAGCACCGGGATCCAAGCCTCCGAGTTGTCTCAACAAGTGCGACTCTTGCACTCCATGCCAGGCAGTTCAAGCGGTACAAGAAGTTCCGGACACTGTTATAACGGGTATAGGCTCCAGGCCACCGAGCTGCCAGAATAAGTGCAACCGGTGCCTCCCTTGCCAAGCAGTCCAGGTTCCCACCCCCGATCCCAAGGATGAGGAGGCCAAGCGAGTTTCTCCGGCGAAAGATGAAGGTGAGGCGGCTGCTCTTTACTCCAATTACAAGCCCAAAGGATGGAGGTGCCAATGCGGAAACAAGCTCTTCAATCCGTAGAAAGCAGTAGTGTTCCTGTTTGCGTTTGTGGCATGTCAGTTCTAGCATAGAGTGTAAGATCGAGAATGGCTGTTTGTTTTACCGAGAAAAGTAGACTTTTTTCCGAGAGTGCTCGACCTCTTACTGTGACGATAGCTGAGCGAAGAACACGTTCATGGGAAGGAACAAAGTTCGTCGTTGACATGCGGCGTGGTCCGTCCATCGCCAAACGAGTTTAGCATGCTTTTACCACCAAGCTTTTAGCTCATTTGACCGGCCTCGTACAGACCACGCATTATTTCGCTGAGAAGTCTTCCGTACCTGGTCGGATTGGGAATAGACTTCGTATCAATGTGACGCCGGCCGTCAGTTGCATACAGCTGTCTGGATTCAGCACCTAGAAATCAAACCTCCACAAGTCATGCGTCCATTTCCAGAGGCCAGTGTAAAATAATCTTACTCTTGAATCTGGAGCCGATTCTTTTAGCTGGGTAAGAAGACGAGATGCTTGCGCTTTCAGCCTCCTGCAATTACAGTGGATCAGCGATGTTTAGATAAACGGAAAGGGATACAAGCAAAGGACGGATTCAATCGGATCCCTCTTAAAGCTTTGAAGTGGAGTCATTTAATACCTTGAGTCCTTTTCTTGTTCTTCTTCTCCAGAGCAGATGTTACAGTTCGACAAGCCCGAAAGCAAGGTCCATTAAAGTCGGCAGTCTGGAAAATGTCAATGTTTGATGCTTTAAAGCTGCTAGTTCGAGCAATGTGTTGGATCCGAGCATTAACGTCCCAAAATTTTAAGCCACTGCAATATAACAAGAAAAATACTGTTAGTTTTTTAAACACTCTTTCGAAACTTCACTGCATATCAACAAAGCCAGAACAGGAAAAAGAACTCACCGACGCTTGTCCGAATTCTTCACTGTAAGGCCCTGAACTATTTATCTTGTCGGAGGATATTTTTGTGATGCTGCTCAGAGAAATTTCTAGAGGGGGGCTTTCCGCCAGTGCTAAAAGGCCATGGCTTTCTATATCGCGAAGAACGGGCTTCCTGTTACATCAAACAAAGTGGGATTTACGTATCAGAGTAAAACAATACCTTCACAGATTGTCCATGATGCGATTCATGCAGAGACATTCAAGAGGTCTTGTCCACGCACGGTCTTCATCTCTGAAAAGATGACGATGACGGTACTGGTGGCAGGAGGAGGGACCAAAACCTGCAACAAAACAATGGTTAGCTGCAAGCGAGAGTGATCGACACTAAAGAGCTTTGACTCGACCATACCTTGTACAAACAATCCTTAATCTACGTTTTGCGTTGTTTTAGATCGAATATCTTGGATCTGGGAGAAGCTTGCCTAAATCGCCGAGTTATCCCGTGTTGAGGAATACAAGTACCTGAAAAAAAAAAAATGTTAGTACAGAACAGAAGGCGAATAAGAAGAAGAAATGAAGTAGCAGGAAAAAAAAAGTGGCAAGGACATATTGATCGCATAAAGGACTAGTGGAATTCATTCGACTTGTCGCTTTGGATAAAAATAAACACGAGCTATTTGGATTTTTAAGAAACATACCGCGCCATAGACTCGATCTTACCCTACATTGGAAAGAAAATCGACAAGCTGCGATTTTTCCAACGCGATTCTTACCTCGCCTGGCGAGATCGACGCAAGGAACCCTATCGATTGCTCCAAAGCCCTAAATCTTCCCCCCAATATTTTCAAATTTGGGAATTTCTTAGGGCTCTTGGCCATGGCGAGGAAAATCCAGCTGACGCTTCTAGGATGCGGGGGCGTCGGGCGGCAGCTCCTCCGCCACATTGTCTCCACTCGTAAACTACACGAAGATCAGGTATCTATTCGCCTATCGCCCAAGATTTCTCTCTTTGAATCAAATGCTCAGGGCTTGCGAGTCGCTGTGATGGCTGTAGTGGATTCCAAATCCATCGTTTTGGGTGAGAAAAACGAAGAACTGGACGACACTGCTCTTCTGGAAATTTGTCTTGCGAAGGAAAAGAACAATCAAATGCCCGGTACATGTCTGTTTTTTATTTCCCTTTTCTTTAAACGATGAAAGCTCAGCTGGATTAAATGCGCGAGCCGTTCGCGAAGAAGATTTTGATGCAACTCTAGCAGCTGCGATAAGAACCATCACAGAAGAAACTGGTAAAACTTTCCTTTCAACTATTTTGATGGATGATCATGCAACTTTTTTTCTTGTTTATCCTACAGGTCGTCCTTTGGTTGTAGCTGACTGTACCGCGAGTGAAAAAATTGGACAAGCACTTGCAGAGATCGCGGACTTGAATTGCTGCATTGTTCTTGCGAACAAGAAGCCTCTCACCAGCTCGTTTGTAAGATCGTTCTTTTTTTGTTTCTTCTTTTTTCCTTGACCCATGGCTGCAGAACGTTTACGATAGGATTGCTGCACTGAATCGACGTTATCGCTGTGAATCAACAGTTAAGCAAGAAGTATTTGTACGTACATTTTACAAACATTTCTCAAGCAGGTCGGTGCTGCTCTGCCAGTCATAGCAACTTTGAACCGTCTGCTAAATTCCGGAGATTCGATCAAGAAAATTGTTGGTGCTCTCAGTGGTTTGTCCTTTCATTCTCATAAAAAATTTGCCACTTCTAACGTCCTTTGTCAGGCACTCTCGGCTTTGTAATGAGTCGGTTGGAGTATGGTGAATCGTTTAGTGATATTGTGAGACAAGCGAAAGAGCTTGGTTACACCGAGCCAGGTAGCTATCTTTCTTTTCTATTTTTCGTGTAGTTTATTCTTACGCTTTCAGACCCTCGTGATGATCTTGGCGGTATGGACGTAGCAAGGAAGGTGAAACCACTTGCTACTATCTCGTGAATGCAACATGACTTCTTTCATTTTTCAGGCGCTTATAATGGCTCGACTAATGGGATGGAGAATAAACTTAGAGGATGTGGAGGTACTCACTTTCTTTGGTTGGATTCCTCTTAGTGACGTGCTGCTTAAAGGTTGAGTGCTTATATCCGCCAAGTCTGGCTCCCAAACTGATGAGCACCATGCAATTTCTAAAAGAAGGACTAGCCGAACTAGACTTGCCAATGAGAAACCGTGTGAAAGAAGCAGCTGCTAGGGGTTGTGTTCTACGATATGTGGCGACGATCGAAAACTTTCAGTAAGTCAATCCGCCTGAGCTTACCAAAAACCTGTCCTTTGCTTACAGTTGCAAAGTGGGAATTGTAGAGCAGCCTCAGCAGTCCGCTCTCGGTCAGCTGCATGGAAGCGATAATCTGGTAATTGTATAGAGCTTGTGCGTTTCCTGAAACTTTGTTTTTGCAGGTCGAGATTTTCACGCGCTGTTATTCGACTTCGCCTCTTGTTATTAAGGGAGCCGGGGCAGGCAATGATACTACAGCCGCTGGTGTGTTAGCGGACGTTTTGGACCTCCAAGACTATTTTGGCTAGGTATCGAATCTTAAGCAAAATCGAACTTTTTAATAAGCCTTCCTATTCTTGCTTCACGTAAGGGAGAGAACGTAGGAGACAGATTTCTGCACAGCGAAATGTCGTCCCAGCGAATGTTTATCGAGCGCTTGCGTCGCGAGCGCTTTGGAATCGGCCAGTCCGGTCCCAATCCTCTCGCTCTCATGCTCCAGGAGACGATCAGGCTCCTCTCTGCCGAGCTCTACCAGAAGGACATCCATTTCCTGTCCGAACTCCTCCAGGTACTTTGCTCGAACTTGGTTCTGTACCTGACAAACATGAGCGTCTTAGAACGCTGAGGACAACACTTACCATTCGTCCATGGAGCCGAGCATCGAAATCTATCTCACAAAGACCGACGTCACTGGCACTGGAGCAGCTGCCACGCTGCTGCTCTTGAACAACGAAGTTGGTTTCTCGGAAAAGAATATAGAGTCCTTGTGCGGCGCTGGTCAGTCCACAAAGAAAGGAAAGAAGTCTCAAGGATACATTGGCGAGAAAGGTGAGATAATTCTTTCTTACCTCTCCCTCTCTAGCCGTGGTAACGTCTCTTGCTCGTACAGGAATTGGGTTTAAGAGCGTTTTTCTCGTCACCAAGCAGCCGTATATAATCAGCAATGGCTTTCGTATTCGTTTCGACGAAGAGCCCCACAACGAGGCCAAGCTCGGGTATATTGTCCCGGAATGGGTCGACCGTCCTACAGACGCTGTGCTGCAGAAGGTCTGTAGCAAGGCCAAGCTTCCTGCAACGGTGATCATCCTTCCCTTGCGTCAAGAAAAGATTTCGGAGGTGGCAAAGCAGCTTACTCAAATCCCAGCGGAGACGCTCCTCTTCCTATCGAAGATACGCATGCTCTCCATCTACGATCAGCAGTCGCGGCCTCCCACGGAACTGGCTCTCTCCAGATCTGTGGAGATGACAACGTCAAAGAATGGAAGCGTGGAAACGAGCACAACTTTTCTCACAGCTAGTAACGGACGGAATGGCACTCAGCACAGCAACTACTACATGTTTAAGCAGACTTTGAAAGTACCTCAGGAGGCCAAGGTTGAAAAGCGAAAAGACGTCGATAGCTGGACGATCACTCTAGCCTTTCCGGTGGATGATCGTATCTCGAGCAGCTGCAGCATTGGCGATATCTTCTCGTTCCTGCCTTCCGATATCCACTCTGGCCTGCCGTTTCTTATCAACTCGGACTTTTTGCTCGTTTCCTCCCGTGAGACGCTCCTCTTTGACAGCCCCTGGAACCAGGGGATCTTTCGCTGTGTTCCCGAGGTTTTCTACAACGCCTTCGAGCTTCTCCTCAACACCACGGCGTTTGGACTGCAGAGTATACCGTCAGTAGCACGCATGGCAATGTACAAGTACGTACCTGTGAATGCTTGCCGCAACTCGTACCTCGAGAAAGTCCGCAACGATATCTTGTCCAAGCTGAAGGACAACAACGTCATTCTTTGCGCCTCGGACGTCGGCCGTGCACCACCGAGCGGGCAGCTTTGCAAGCCTGCTCTTGCGAGAAAAGTCGCCCCCAGCTTCCGAGAGCTTCTCAGAGCCGCACCGAAGTGTCCGAGGTTCTTGCGAGGAAGTCCCTGGTTCTTGCGACGAAGTTCCTCGTACATAGTGGACAGCACGCTGCAGGAGAACTACGGCTCGGTGCTGAGACTCCTGGGAGTCCCAGATATGAGCAACGATGAATATCACCAAAGCCTCGACTCTGAAGACTGGATGAGATCGCTCCCCGACGATGCATATGTCAAGCTGCTGGTGTTCCTGTCCTCCAAGTCGTCAACTTTGAGATCCCTCAAGTTTCTCAAGTATCGAGGCTCCGATGGTCGACTCCAGTTGGCAAGCATGGATGATCTCGCGCGAAACGATGGCAGATCCATGTACTGGGATTCTGGTCATAGAGCTACCGCTTGGCTCGCTGGTTGGACAGAGGTGTTTCAACGTTGGCTAACTTTCAACTTCGTTCCATCGGCCTGCGCTGCAAAAATCCGGCAGCACTCGGTTTTAGAGAACTGGTTGGAGAGAGCCCCCTTCAGCGTGAGCGAACTGACAGCATGCTCACTCGCTCGTCAGGTTCTTGGAGCAGTCACTGCGAACTCCTCAAATGCAAAGCTTGCTGTTCTAGCGATGCACTTCCTGTTCGACCTGTACAGAAACGACCGCAGCTCGTACACATCTATCAGCAACGAAAAGCGTAATTTACCAATCGTCGAGAATGACGGAGCCGTGAGTCCCTATGGTGCGAGTTATGTTTCAACGCGTCCATTGTTGCTACCGGCGGCTTGTGGAGCGAAGTGGCCGCTCTTGCTCCCGTCTGCCGCGTGGAGACGCGGCGTTCGAAAATTGTCACAAGAGTATATGGTGTCAGCAACGGTCGATCTCTCCGACTCCGACGTGCGAACCGAGTTTGTGAATTTTCTGAAGGAGCAGTTCCTGGCTACGGACATCCCCGCCTTTGATCCGGTGAACGAGGCCCTTCCTCCGCATTATGTTGGTAACGTCGCAGCGAGCTCGTTGTTACTGAAGTGGATTAAATCCAGGCACTGCAATGCACCCGCTTTCACTTCCAGTATTAAGACTACCAAGTGGTTGAAGACGAGCCACGGATACTGCTGCCCAACCGTTGCATTCCTGCCGGTGCCTGAGCTGCTTAAAGTCTTGAAAGTCGAGGACGTTCCGTTCGTGGACAAGGACTGGATGCCATTGGAGGAGTATAAGAACGAGTTCCGAAGCCTGGGAGTGGCTTGCGAGCCCGGCATGGGATATGCAACTGTCCTCCGCTGTCTCGGCAATATGCAGAAGCTTCCTGCTCGGCAAGTCGACACGGCTAAAGTGGTCAGATTTTATCAGTACCTCTCCCGCTGCGCTGAACAAGAATTATGGAGGGACGTTGACACGATCTGGGTGCCGCAGAGCGAAGGCCGTGCAGCAACCTGGAAGAAAAAGGAAGAATGCGTCATTCACGACGTTGAGGGCTTGTTTGGAGAAATCGGTGTTGTACCTCTGGATAGCTGCTACGAGCGGGTCATGCAAGACATCCTTCAGAAGAGGTTTGATGTTTGTGAGAAGCCCTCGATCATCAAGTTCTGCGAGCTCTGGCAGAGCTGGTCGTCTAAAGGAAAAGATGTCGAGGTACAAAGGGCTTACACAGTGTGGCGTGAGCTGGTGGAGGCGAAGCTAGTCTCGTCACGACCAACTTCGACGCCGTATCTGAAAGTTTTCCGCGCGAGCAGCTGCGTTCCTTCAATACCAGCCTGCGAAAAGAACGCAGCCACCGTCAAGCTTCTTCCGCCTGCAAAGACGGTCATGGTTGATCAGCTAGAGCTGGAACATCTCTTTGGAAACACTAATCCTCGTCCGTGGGTGGCGTGGTATCCAACCAGCCAGGAGATCAACACGCAGGAGCTATATAAAGTCTACTCCTGGCTGGGGGTCAAGACAATCTCCGAATGTGCTGAATCGGAGACGGACACGAGCTGCATGAGCCTCTCACTCGGAAGGAAACTGGTTTGGGACAAAGGATACATCCACCTGGGACTGTTCAGAGCAATACTCGGGTATCTGGCTCTATCACTTTCCGTCAAGGAGCGACAAACCATAGTGCAGGAACTGCTGCGTCTAAAGGAGATGGAACTCGAAACGAGCCTGAAAGTTCACTGGACTCTTCGCGCTGGAGACACTACCCGTCACGCGGTCTCGGAGAGGATGCTCTACTGGAACAGGGAGAGGCAGGAACTAGCCTATGTCGACGAGGGGCAGAGGAAGAAGAGGAACACAGAGTTTGGGACCGAGTTCGCGAGGATCATAGCGGAGGGTCTGCTTTTCCACCACCGGGACTTGATTCCAGGCATGGAGAGGCATCTGAGCATGCTGGCATTCTCTAAGTTCGACGTCATGGAGGTGGACAACATGCTCATCAAGCACAACATGCGGCTCTATAGCGAGGACGAGACGTTTCTAAAGACCGGGGTGATTGTGGATCCATCTAAAGCTGACGCTGAGAAGAACTTACATGGTGGTGAAGCAGTCGCAGAGATGGAACCGTTTGTGCTACCGGATGTTCCTGAAACGGAGGAAGATCAGCTGGAGAGAGATTCAAGAATTTCCGAACCTCCAGCAGACTCGAGATCCACCACCATTGCCGTCGCTCCAAGTTCTTACTCTCCAGCTTTCGTCGCTGCTACTCCTCTGGACAATCGGAAATACCTCCTGGAGCAAGCTTTCCAAGTCTTGTCATCGCTGGACGTGATCAAAGACGAGGCGTGGACGATGGAGCTCCCAGACGAGGTTTTTAACTCAGAGAAGATCAGCGCGTGGCGAGAGACGTACCTTCCAACAGTTCGTCGCCTTTTGGACTATCCACCCGAGGAAGGCTACCTCAAGCCTGGGATGAGGACTGGCATCTCTCTGGACAAGATGCTCACAGCGGCATTTCTCGACGCTGGAAACTTTCCGGGAGTGAAAGGATCGAGCCACCATCACTTGAGCGTCGTTGGAGCAGCGTGCCTCAACCTGTGCCTGGCGATGGAGCTCGTCAAGCTAGATGACAATCACCACGGCGGAGTAAACGGCGCTTACAAGCTGACGAACACCTCCCTGCTCGCGGCGTGCTTCCATGCCTGTGGGCTGGACGAATCTGTGCTGCGCAGCTCGAATTCGGCAGCCGTGAGCGACCTCGTGGCGGCGAGCGTCGCGAGAGCCCTACTGGCTGTAGGGTTTTGCGCCTACGACGATGGATTGGGAGAAGTGAGGCGGATCTACCAGGAGGTGTTCCTCGCCGCCCTCGGCGATGCTCTCGGCTGAAATTTTCATGCGAAATATGCTAGGCCAAAACGAAGCGCTCTCACCGATTTTGTATCAAGAGCCCTAAAAACTCTCCCGCCCAAGTTTTCAAATACTTTCTAAGAATATAGTCAGCATATTCGTTATTTTGAGCTAGACAGTCAAAGACTGATAAGAATTTTGCCTGGATCAAATGACGAGAGAGGCTCACCTGGAAACTCAGCAGCCTGATACACAGTTCCAGCATCTTCCAAACCATCTCAGTTGCTCAAAGATAGCCAAATTCAATCTCGGACA